GGTAGAGCTGGGGAAGCACAAAGGTGTGAGATCTCCTGCAAACTGCGGGTATGGATAATTACAATAAGTCCCAAACACATGAAATGGTGTTCAGTGACTCAGTCCACACACTCCCCCGCTGCTCCCACACACTCCTGATGCTCAGGCAGAAATTAAGCACTCACGGATTTTTCATGCTTTGTATTCAGGGCTCCACATTTTCTGTCTCCTTCAGCTCACCCAAGGCCACCCCCAGCATGCCAGGGGGTTTAGGAACCTACCAGAGATGCCTCTGGCTGGGCTGGCCAGCCTGGAACACCGAGGCTCAGTGAGTGATGAGGCAAAGGCACCACCCTGCAGTGGGGAACACGGCTTTGCTCCCCACCACACGGAAAAAAACCAGCTTTGCCTTCCAAAGCAGGGTACCCAGGCTGCACAGGCACCCCTGCACCCCACAAACACTGAGATTGTCCCCAAACCCTGAGATCTTCCCCAAACCCTGAGATCCTCCCCAAACCCTGAGATCCTCCCCAAACCCTGAGATTGTCCCCAAACCCTGAGATCCTCCCCAAACCCTGAGATCTTCCCCAAACCCAGAGATTGTCCCCAAACCCTGAGATTGTCCCCAGACACCTCCATGTCCCACAGGGAGGCCGGGCTGGTGTGTTCCAGAGCAGAGATGTGTGCAGCCCTGCCCTTGCCTGGGGTTAGGATGCTCTGCCTAACTGGGGGTAAAAGAGCTCAGATGCTGTTCCCAAAAGCCATGGGGTGGGTGAGGAAGGAGGGCCATGCTGCCTCTGGTGTGCAATGGTGCTGAGAGCATCCTGTGATTGATCCCAAAGTTAAACATTCCCAGTGAGGGTGAGCAGGACGACGTTCCCTGGCAGAATCTGGCACCAGTGAGGGTGTGCCAAGGTTCCTGACAAAGGAACCCAGGAGTCACAGTGCTGTGCCCCTAGACAGCCCTGGGGACAGCGAGGCTGAGTGGGAAACGAGGAGGAAAAGGAACAGAGACTGAGCTGGGATGCAGGTGAGGGAGACAGGATCGAGGTGTGCAGTTCTGCCACCACGGCCAGGGGATGATGCCCAGAGGGTCCCTGCACCCCAGGGGCCATCCCAGCCCCAAACATCCCCGTGCTCAGCAGACAGCTTGACAAATTCGGTTTAACTGTTTTGATGTAATAATGTAATTAGGTAAAAGGGTTCAGCAACCAATTGCATTTCACTAATTTCAACCATCTGCTTCAACACTTGTTCTGTGTGTGCCAGACATCAGTGTCTTTGCTCTAATAGTAATTAATGAAACTGTTAATAAGCTACATATATCATATTATGGTGCAATGATTTATCAAAGGATAATGTTATGAGACAAATTCTATATAACAATTATAGAAAATGGCTTACATTACTAATGCTGCACACTGCTCACTAGTTTCTTTACTCTTCCCTTCTTAATGAATTCCCTAATTAATTTAATGCATACGTTATGCATAATTTGAAATTTAAAAACATCTCTGGGTCAGGTTTTAACCATCTTCTTTTACATGCTGTCTGCTTCTACAAGACACATATTAGCAAAACATGACCTCTATGCAAATGAGGGTGCCCGCTGCAGTTCCCATTCCCCAGCGATGGCAGCGGCTCCTCTGTGCCACAGGAGAGCAGCAGATTCACCAGAGCTGGGCTGGGTCAGAGGCTCTGCCCACAGCCAAACACAACCACAGCAGCTGTGCCACGCTGTGATCTGGCACCAGCCCTGTTTTGGGGCTGTTTTGGTTTGTGTCCTCAATCGCACATCGAGCAAACACCCATTGAACACCATGGCCATCACCCAGCCCGGGAGAACAAGGTCAGTTTAAAAATCCAGAAACCTTCCAAAATAGAAATGTAAACTTTAGTCTCTTCATCCTCAGATTTTTAAGCATCCAGCACACCATTGCCCAGTATTTCCCAGCTTTCTGCCTCTACAGCTTTGTGGTTTTCCTGCAAAGCACAACCACAAACTCTTCTTCCAAAGTTTCCATTTTCATTCGCATCTATGTGGGTGGAGACTTCCAGAACACCACCAAATCCCCCAGCAGGACAGGGTGCTCCAGCTCCAATGTTTCCTTCAGTGGGACAGTGGAAGGTGTCCCTGCCCACAGCAGGGTGTGGAACTGGATGAGCTTTAAGGTCCCTTCCAACCCAAACCATTCTGAGGTTCTTGTGCTCCCTAGAAGAAATACAATTTACCAAGCTAGCCAGGCTTTAGCAAGAGATCATTCCCCCATGAATTCTCTTTGGACAATATATTATTTGCATTGCTAAAATATTATATAGAGACCCAGAGTGAAATCAACATTTCCTTATCTCCTGGGACACTTCTGGCTGGAAAAGTGTTGAGTTTTCATCTTCAAGCAAGCTTGCTTCTGTGCTTTTCCATCTGACACGTCAGATTATTTTAATGATGGAGTACTTGATTAAATTAATTCCTGCCTACAAAAGCATCTGTCTTGTGTCACGGAATCTGTTCAGCTATCTGGAACATTTGTACTTGCCAGGGAGGGGAGCCAAGGCGCGGAGCGTGCGGAGGGGGCGCCTGACCAAAGGAGACTTTGTCACAACGCGTAAGGCTGAGGCTCAGCGGGCTGCCTCGGGTCTGTCCCTGCCCCAGCAGGCCTGGAACTTGTGCCCAGGGCTTAGGGAAGAGGCTGCTGGCCTGGCCCGCTGGCAGAGCAGCACAATTCCAGCGCAATTCCAGCACAATTCCAGCTCAATTCCAGCACAATTCCAGCAGCTCCAGGGGACCTGCCAGTGCCGCCGTGTCCCCGTCAGGGGCTGAGCCCTAAAACACGGCCCCAGAGGGGACTCAGCCGTGCCTGAGGGCGGGTCAGCATCAGCCAGGGAAAAAAAACAGCTGTGAATGGAAAAGTTGTGCCAGCATGGTGAATGAAGCACAGACCGTGTGCGTCAAACTTTTATTTCTAAACAAACGGAATTGTTCCATTGAAGTTCATCGCTTGCTTACTCTCAAGCTGCTGCTCATTTTTTTTTCCCTTTAGAGAGTTTTTGCAATCTTATCCTTCCCTCCTTCCCTCCCTCCCTCCCTCCCTCTTACTGAGAGTTCTCAAGCACTATCCACACATGCAAATCCTCCAAAATCAGAACTGCTTGCCACGTCTGAAGGAGTTTGCTTGGCAAAGAAAAGCCTTGGAAAAACAACAGAATGGCCATTACCTTTGTTTTCCATCACACAATGTAACCATCGGCTGGGTTCTGATATTAGTAATTTTTTGAAGTATGAATATTAATGTAATATTTTCCACTTATTTCTTCTCAATATTCATATGCGCTGTGGGTTGGAGCCCTTTATTTAACAAAACCTCTGCTTTGGGATTTGGGATACAGTGCATTACTATTTAATTTATTAATACCAGAGAACTTTAAGAGAGTTTAAGCTAAGTTTAATAAAGCTGCAGAACACCAGCTCAGGCTTTTTTTCCTTTCAGTGCCTGCATCCTGAGTTCTCGGGGCTGTGCCCACACCTCGCAGCTGATGCCAGCAGGTGCCGTGGCTGTGCCAGGTGTCCCCGCAGGCAGCCGGAGGTGGTCACTGCCAGGGGAGCTGCTGGCCGGGCTCTGCCGTGGCACTCGGGTCCCCGGAAGGTGCCAGTGACTGCTGGTGACAGGGTCCTGGCTCTGGGCTCTGGGATGGCAGAGACTCTCCGAGGTGTGTGCTGAGCTCTCGTGGGGGTCGGGCCAGCACGCAGAGCTCACCCCTGCGCGGAGCCACCCCCGCACAGAGCATCTCCCAAACATCCCGACCCCACACGGGCTCTCCTAGAGACCCTGCCTGCAGGAACAGCCTCTCTGCTGGTGTGCGTGTCACCCACAGTCACAGCCACACCTACACCCATCGCCAAACCCACAGCCACACCTACACCCATCGCCAGCACCAGCCAAGCCCGGGAACACCGCGGGCTCTGTACCTGGGTGTCAATCCATCGCTCCAGCCACACAGACCAGGCTCGGTGGGGCTGCCTGGGGTGTTCTGAGGAACCTGAGCCCACCTGAGCCTACCTGAGCCCACCTGAGCCTACCTGAGCCCACCTGAGCCCACCTGAGCCTACCTGAGCCCACCTGAGCCCACCTGAGCCCTCCCAGGCTGGAGCACCTGGTGCCGGCAGGCAGCCCCAGCCCTCAAGAACTAGGACAGCCAGCACGGCCAGGACAGTCAGCAGAGCTGGCACTGCCAGGACAGCCAGCACACATGGCATAATTGGCATAGCCAGGACAGGTGGCACAGTCAGCACATCCAGCACAGCGGGCACAGCCAGCACTGCCTGCCACGTCCCAGCCTGCGGTGCAGGGCCGGGGCCGGGGCCGGGGCAGGAGCAGGAACAGGAGGGTGGCTCCTCGCCGGTTCCTTTCTCGGCGTTCTCCGGCTCAGCCCACCGGAGGCTGCCGCGCTTCGCCAGCGTGGCTCCCGTGCCCTGTAATTGAGTAACTGGGATGTGGAACACACCCACGTCCTCAGCAGCGGCTCAACCACCGACTGCCGCGCCAGCTGCCACGTGGAGCCGGGACACGCCCGGCTGCCCCCAGCCATGGCCCCTCTGCCCCCGTGGGGACCCCGGGACACGGCCCCGGGACACGGCCTCACTCCCTCCCACTGCCCAGGGCCGCACCACTGATCCTGGGATGTCACTCCAGCCACATCACTGATCCCTGGGCATGTCACCCTGGCCGCATCATTGATCCTGGGATGTCCCCCCCAGCCGCATCGCCCATCCCCGGGATGTCTCCCCTGGGGCACAGCCCCGCTGCTCCCGGGATATCCCGCCGGGTCGGGTTCCAGCGCGGGCGGGTCCCGGCGCGGGGTGGGGCGGGGGCAGCCGCGTCCCGGCCCCATCTCCATCCCCGGCCCCATCTCCGGCCCATTCCCGGCCCATCCCCATCCCCGGCCCTTCCCCATCCCCATCCCTGGCCCTTCCCCATCCCCGCCTCCCGCTCCGCTGGCCCGGCGCTCCGCGCCCGCCCGGGATGAGCGGGCTGCGGCGGCTGTTCCGCGGCAGCGGGCGGGCCCTGGCCCTGGTGTTCGCCGCCTCGGTGGCCTGGGTGCTGCTCGACATGGCCGCGCTCCGCCTCTCGCTCGGCGAGGCGGGCGGGCGGCTGCTGCGGGAGGCGGCGGGGCGGCGGCCGGGACCGGGGATGGGGTTGGAGCCGGGTTTGGGCTTGGGCTTGGGGCGGGCGCGGCCCCCGCGCGGCCCCGAGGCTCCGGCGAAGGCAGCGGGGGAGCCGGGAGCAGCCCCCGCCGGGCTCGGGGCCGGGGGCTCGGGGCCACCGCCGGGAGCAGCCCCCGCCGGGCTCGGGGCCGGGGGCTCGGGGCCACCGCCGGGAGCAGCCCCCGCCGGGCTCGGGGCCGGGGACTCGGGGCCATCACCGCCTCCCCGGCACACCCCGGCCCCCGGGCGCAGCGGGACGGGCACGGCGCTCCCCGGACACGCCGCCCACGGGAGCGAGCAGCGTCCCCCCGGCACGGCACGGCCCGGCCTGGCAGCCCGGGATGCGGGGATGGCAGCCCAGCCTGGAACAGAGAAAATGAACACGGGACAGGAAGAAACTTCCTCCAAAACTCGCTTCGTCCTCATTAGCAAAGAGAGGATGAACCTCGCCAGCCCCACAGTCCCGCGCCCTGGACCCCACTCTGCCGGGAACGCCACAAGGAGACGTGGGAAGCACAAAGAACTTGGTGACAAGGGCAGTGATGGTGCCCACGCTGCCACTGCCACTGCTGGGGCCACCGCCGTGGGTGGCCGGAGCCGGACGCTGGGTGTGACACCAAGAGCAGCTCCTGCAGCAGCTGGGACTGGCCAGGACGGGCAGAAGCAGGCAGGAGCAGCTCCTGGAGCGGCTGGGACTGGCCAGGACGGGCAGAAGCAGGCAGGAGCAGCTCCTGGAGCGGCTGGGACTGGCCAGGATGGGCAGGAGCGGGCAGGAACAGCTCCTGGAGCGGCTGGGACTGGGCAGGATGGGCAGAAGCAGGCAGGAACAGCTCCTGGAGCGGCTGGGACTGGCCAGGATGGGCAGAAGCAGGCAGGAACAGCTCCTGCAGCAGCTGGGACTGGGCAGGATGGGCAGGAGCGGGCAGGAGCAGCTCCTGCAGCAGCTGGGACTGGGCAGAAGCAGGCGGGGAGCAGCCCAGGGATGCACAGGGTCCTGTCCATGGATGTAACGCTCGCCCCGAGAGACCCCCGAGCTCCTGGCCAGTTTGGACACCCTGTTGCTGTCCCTGATGATAAACAAGAAGAAGCAAAAAGCAGATGGAAAGAAGGAAACTTTAATGTCTACCTCAGCGACCTGATCCCTGTGGATCGAGCCATCGCAGACACCAGGCCTGCCGGGTAAGGTCTGCTCCCCTGCTGCCCCTGGCAATGGGCTCCGGGCTCTGGGGAGGGTTGTTGGGGCACACCGAGCCCACCACCTCAGCCCTGCTACCTGTCAGATGGCTTTTGCCTGTCCAGGTCAGAGCAGCCTGTTGTTAAACCCAAACTGGGTGAAGTTTGCAGTTCCATAACCCACTGAGCCTGGCTGCCCGAAGGGGCCAGCACACTCAGCACAGGGGCTGAGGGCTCTCTGTGCCTTAGAACGCTGTACCTGCTGTGTCAGGTGCAGCTCTGAGCACTCAGAATTCGTGTGTTGGTTCCCGGAGCCTGCACCCATCGGTGTGTGAGAGCAGCAGGAGCCCCACTGCCCGGAGGGGCTCTCACACCTCAGGCTGTGTGCTTCCCTCGAGGGGCAGACACCAAAGTGGCCTGCAGGAGCTGAGCCGAGGGCTGGAACCATCCTGCAGGCACGGACTGGAGAGGCGGTCTGGGAACTCTGCTCTGTGGGCACATGCAGGGAGGGACGTGGGGTTTGGGTTTGGGAAATGTCACACAGTTACAGCTGTCACCAGGAAACGAGGGCAGAAGGACAGGAGGCTGGGGAGCCCCATCCTGAGCTGCCGTGCCAGGGGCTCAGCAGTGCTGGGTTGGTGCTTGGACTTGATGATCTTAAAGCTCTTTTTCGACCTAAGCCACTCTGTGGTTTGACAGCTGCAGGGAGGGCAGGGGAGGTGCCAGCTCAGGTGAGTGCCAGGTTCATCTCTTGTTCTCAGCCCTTCCTACAAACTTCTCTCAGCCCCTGGGCAGGTGACAGACCTGCCCTGTGCAGAGACCATCCCC